TATATATATATAATATATATTCTTGAGAAAAAAGAGATGATACACAGGTAGACAATCAAAGAAATACTGGGAAGGCTGTTACAGTTGTGAATACGATGAGGATTGATGTATTCAATTTGACTTACATGAGTCAGAATTATTGCTGAGAGCCACTGCCACTATCTTTTTAGTTATTGGTACACAGGGTATTCCAGAATGTATCACCTTCCCCATCTCCAGCACTACACACACACTTAGAAAAACCTTTGTTCTAGGGTGACCTCAAACCAAAACTCTAAGTTTTCTATTTATTCCTCGGGTCCAGGGAGAAGTTGCTACGAGTAAGTTCCCAGGACTACGGAAGAGATCTGCAAGGCATTCAGAAGTTACTGAGGGAGCACAAACGTCTGGAAGGGGACTTGGTGGCACATGAACCTGCCATCCAGGTAGAGATACAATAGCAGACCTGCACAGGTGGAAGTAATCTAGTAACTTTCCCTCATGTTACAGATAAATAGGATGGTGCTTTAAAATGTGGAAGTAGAATGCCAAGGTCACAAAGAGCTAGTCATAGGTTTCAGAAGGGCTCTTCCCTTTTCTGTGTGTCTTCTCCTATGAGTGGAAGAATTCTGGACAAGAGCCCATGCTCTTCCCTGGAAGGGGTACTTCTTAACAACTGAGATGCAGCCTGGGACATCTGGGAAAGCTGTCCCTGAGCTGTAGGAAAAGAAGACGACTCTCCCTCTGACTTGGCAGTAGAGTTGCTCTGTCACTATAAACAATCCACGAAGCAGATTATAGAGAGTAGCCTAGCACAAGCACTGAGATAATTGCCAGAACATTTTGGAAAGTTTAGCGGGGTAGATCATTCTCTCATCATTTTCAGGACTACCCATAGTCCCATGTAGTTTATAAATGATCTTGAGGGTGGGAGGACAGGAAGGCCTTGATTTTGCTTGCCAATGGACTGTGGCTACATGAGGAGAGATCATGGGGTAATGTGATATGGACGGGCTATGTTCTTTAGAATGTGCTGGAGATGGCAGAGAGGCTGGGAGACAAGGCTGCCGTGGGGCAAGAGGAGATCCAGGAGCGACTGGCTCAGTTTGTGCAACACTGGGAGAAGCTCCAAGAGTTGACCAAAGCTCGGTGAGTGACGGATAGAAGGTGCATTTGTCTTTCTGGATTTGGGATGTGAGGCTGGTGTGAGGAGGATGCTTAAGTGATTGCTCAGCATTGCCTGGTCCCCCAATTACCCATCTACATGCTAAGTCCCTGCTCAAATGCTTAGTCCAGTCAGAAGTGATCACTGCATCTGTTCTGCATATACCTCTTGTCTTTCACATACATGCAGCTATCTCTTACCATTACTTTTCCACACGGGTTATACTCCATAGCAGGTTTTTAGCCATATATGTTTGTTTGTTTGTTTGTTTCAGAGAGGTTTTTTCACTATAGGGCGTGTGCGCTCGCCAGACAGACAGAGAGAGACATAGAGACAGAAAGCGAGAAATCACCCCCAGGGGGGATGGTTACGTCGCAATCTCTTCTCCTCCATTCTCCTCTCAGGATCTTGGGCACGCACGCACACGCGCCCGGCGTGAGTTTTAAGCCACCGGGTTCGGGACGCGAACCGCGGTCGACTACATGGGAGTCCAGCGACATAGCCATTACGCTAACTGCTGGTTCCCAAGCCATACATGTTTTACTTTATCTTCCCAGTTTCAGTATAATGGCAGTCCTTAGTAATAAAAGAACAAATAGAAGGGAACTTCAAAAAAGTTCAAAGAGGAAGAAATTAAAGTACGAGTTTATTTTGGTGCAAACAATTTTTAAATTTATGAATACATTTGTCTTAATATACATTTTGCATGAAGTTTTTGAAGACCTGTTATATTTTTCTTCCTTATAGACATAATGGTCTATTTGAGCCGCATAGCCATATGGCTAAACAAAGAAATTTCTGTACATAATTCCATGCTTATTGGCAGTTATAGGCACATCCTCCTGAGAAATAAAAGGGAGCTTCTGACATTTGTGGTGCCTTCATCATAAAGGGAGAAAGGCAGTGCTCAGAGCAGATGTTGCTTCACTGTTGATATTCTTCAGCACTGAAGTCATAGCATTTCCTTTTTGTTTGAGCAGAAGTTTCTTCCCTTAACAAAGTTTCCTAGAGGGTGGAGGATACTACAAAATTAACTAGGGCAGGAGTCTCCTCTGTTTCCCAGGAGATCTGCATGACTCCCAGTAGGTACATATCAGACTGTGTGTTTGCCCACTTCGGCCGTGGCTGCCTTGTGAGAGTAGCTGTCTGCTAACCTCTCACTGCTTACCAGCTCCTTCTTATCCTTGTTGGGGCTTACCACCCTGTTGTAGAGGGCTTCGTCTGGAAGAGTTCCTAGAATACTTGCAATTCATGGAGAACGCTGAGGAAGAAGAAGCTTGGATCAGTGAGAAGGAAGATATGGTTGCTCATGGGGATTCTGGAGATACGCTAGCTGCTACCCAGGTGAGGAATGGGCAGAATTCCATTTTCTTCTCCTTAATTTGGATCTTCCCATAAATAGTCAGTGTTTTTACCTATAAAATTAGAAGTGTTATCCTCATAAGGGAAAGAAATGAGGAAAATACAGGTAATTCTTTCCATTTAAAATATGAAATATCAAGGTCGGGAGATCTATAAATAAGTTACTGGTCTAAGATCATAATCAGGTGTGCTGGCAGGACTCAAATCTTAAGTCAAAGGTATCATGAGTCAAGACATTCCTTACACATTAAATTCCTTATATGTTACAGATTTTTCTAAATACTGACACAAATCCTAATGTTATATTGATTTTTTAAAAATTCTTTTATGTCTGAACATTGGTTTTAGTTTCTAGAAAATATAATTTTAGAAGAGGGATGTAGAGACAGAATAGTTCCATACCTTTTTACTGTAGGTTGAGTTTCCCGGTAAAATAATGGATGAATTCTCAGTATGATTGTGGGTTAATATGGATTTTTCACAGCCTTTGAGTCATTACAGAACAATAATATTGTTAGGGCCCTAAGAATGTACCTACCAGCTTTAAAAACTGGGGTTTTATCAAGAACTCTTTGTGAAGATGAATTCATTTTTATGTGAGGACATAAAGAAAGGCTTTGTCTTGCAAAAGAAATCTTACAACGCTTATAGGATATACTTCAAATTATCAACTCGTTCTTATCTGGAAAACTATTTTGAAACACGTACTGCACATCACTGTGCATGTTCAAGCATTTTAAAGCTTCACATCAAATACTCTCAAAGGTTTCCTTTTTCTTAAACTTTTTATTTTTGAAGATTGTAGACTCATATGTAGTTCTGAGTAATGCTACAGAGAGATTTCATGTTTCCTTTACCAAGTTTCCTTGAGTGGTACATCAAGAAAACTACAACACAATATCATAACTGGGATTTTGACATCATTGAGATTCAGAACGTTATTGTCCCATGATTCCTCATGTTGCTCTTCGTTAGCTGCGCCCACTTCCTTCCTGCCCCAACCCATTGTCACCTCAGCAATCACTAGTCTGTTATACATTTCTATCATTTTGTCATTTTGAAAATGCTATATAAATGAAATCACACAGTATGCAACCTTTGAAGACTGGCTTTTTCACTCAGCTTAATACTCTGGTGATTCAACTATTGTTGTGTGGCACAATGGTTTATTCCATTTTATTACTGTATAGTCTCTTAGTCCCACACTTAAACCATTCACCTGCTGAAACTTATCTGGGTTGTTTCCACATCTAACTATCATGAAAAAAGTATATGACTACAGATATACATATATGAGTTTCCATACAAACATTAGTCTTTATCTCTCTGGGAGAGATGATCACTGAACTATTGAATGCTGGAAAATTCATGACACATCAGAAAAATACATTATGACGTTTCTAAGGACCAAATATATGATGATTGTCTGTGTAGTACAAAAATGGCAAAATATTTTTCCAGAGTCACTACACCATTTCACATTCTTACTAACAATGAATGAGTGTTGTAGTTTCTCCATAGCCTTGAGAGCATTTTGTGTTGTCACTGTTTTTATTTTAGCAATTCTGATAGGGGTGTAGTGATTTAATATGTATTTCTGTAATGGCTAATCCTGTTTTTGTTCTTTTCTTGTGTTTATTTTACATTTGTATATTTTCTTCAGTCTTTTCATGTCTTTTGTCCATTTTCTGACTGAATAATTTGTTCATTTCATTGTAGTAAGACCACTTAACATGAGATCTACTCTCTTAATAAATTTGAAGTGTACAACACATTATTCTTGACTATAGATACCATATTGTACTTAACTCTAGAGTTTATTCATCTTGCTTAACTAAAACTTATGCCTGACAAAAAGTTATCCCTCTTAATTACCATTCTAGCCTTTGGTTCTATGAATTCAACTACCCCATGTAAATGGAATCAAGTGGTATTTGTCTTTATATAACTGGCTATTTCACTTGGCATAATGTCCTCAATGTTCATCCATGTGGCATATAGTGCAGAACTTCCTTCTTTTCTCAGTCTAAATAGTATTCAATAGTCAGTATAAACCACAACTTTTAATCCACTCTTCTGTTGATGTATGGGTTGTTTCCACATCTGGGCTATTGTGAATAGTGCTGCAAGGAGCATAGGAATGCTACTGTCTTCTCAAGATCTTGATTTCAATACTGTAGGATCAATAGCCAGAAAGAGGATTGCTGGATTATATGATAGTTCTATTCTCAGTTTTTTGAGGAACATCAGTACTATTTTACATGGTGGCTGCACCATTTTACATTTCCACCAACAGTATGCAACCTTTTCAATTTTTCCACATCCTTGCCAATGCTTGTCTTCTGTTTTTTTTTTACTAGTAGATGTGTGTGAGATGTATTTCATTGTGGCTTAATTTTCATTTCTACAATGATTACTGATGTTGAACAATTTTTTTCTTATCCCTTTGGGCAATCTGTGTGCCTTCCTCAGAGAAATTGCTATCAAGTTCTTAACCTTCTCCCCTTTTTATAACTAGAGGGTACATGAGCTCCCTGGAGAGAGAGAGAGAAACAGAGAACAAGAGAGAGGATGAACGTGATTTCTCACCACCACTCTTCCTCCCCAGGAAGGACGGCCATACCACAATCCCCTCTCCTCAAGACTTGTACATGCACACACACATGCACCTTCTGCATCCCTCTAACACCAGAACTCAAAACACACAGTTGGACACATAGGATCTATCCACCCTAACCACCATGACACAGGCCTCTCATTTTTTAATTGATATTTTTTTTAATTTTTGTTTTGCTAGTGTTGAGTTATAGTAGCGCTATATGTAATTTGAATATTAACTCCATATCAGAGGAATGGTTTTCAAGTTCTAACTCTCATTCTGCAGATTGCCTTTTCACTCTCTTGTTTATTTCTTTTACTGTGAAGAGCTTTTAAAGTTTAGCATAGTCCTACTTATTCATAATTATTTTTGTGGTCTCTACTTTTATTGTTACATCCATACAATCATTGCCAAGACCAGTGTCATAAATAATTCCCCTTAGGTTTACTTTCAGGATATTTATAGTTTCAAGTCTTGTGTTTAAGTCTTTAACCCATTTTGAGTCAACGTTGGGGTAGAGTGTAAGATAAAGATCTGATTATTCTGCTTATGGAATTTCTCCAACACGGTATGTTAAGTAGACTGTCCTTTCTCCATCATGTAGTCTTGACATCCTTGTCAAAAACGGGTTGACAGTATATGTATGGATTTACCTCTGGACTGTCTGTTCTGTCCCGTGGTCTATATGTGTCTTTATGCCAGTACCATATTGCTGTGATTACTATAGCTTTGTAATGTATTTTTTTGTGTGGTTATTTTTTTTTTTGTCTGTTTGTTTTAGGTTTTTTCAATAGGATGTGTGTGGTCACCAGAGAGAGATAGACAGAGGGAAAGTGAAAAATCACACCATAGGGCAGATGGCCACACTGAAAGACCTACTACAATCTCTTGGTATTTGGGGCACACTCGAACACACACCTTGCATGATTTTCAAGCCACCAGGTCCAGGACTCAAACCACAGCCGGCCTTGTTGGAGTCCAGCGCCATAACCGCCATGCCACCTATTGGCCTTGTAATGTATTTTAAAAACAGGAAGTATAATCCCACTAGCTTTGTTCTTGTCTGCCATGATTGTTTTAGCTACCCATGGTCTCTTCTGGTTCCATATGAATTTTAGAACTGATTGTTCTCTTTCTGTCTCATTTTTTGTTTTAATGAGATTTTGATGGATATTGAATCTATCCATCACTTTGAGTAATGTGAACATTTAATGATATTTAGTGTGCTACTCCCTGAACATGGATATCTTTCAATTTGTTTGTTTCTAGTTTCTTTTATCAGTCTTAAGTAGTTTTCAATGGATAAATTTTCCATCTCCTTAGTTGAACTGATTTTTAAGTATTTTATTATATTTTGTGTGGTTGTAAAAGAGTGTTTTTAATTTATTTTTCAGAGAGGTCATTGTTAATGTATAGAAATTGAACTAGTTTTTTTGTGTATGTTTTTATACTGAAAATTTGTTGATTGACTTAGTTCTAACAGTTTATTTTGTTAATTTTGTTTTTATGGAGACTTTAGGTTTTCTATATGTAAGATTGTTACTTGCAATCAGAGATAATTTTACTTATTTCTGTTTTAGAAGCCTTTTATTTCTTCTTCTTTCTTAATTGTAGTGGTTAGGACTTCCAGTACTATGTTAAGAGGAATTAGTGATGTTACCTTGTTTCTGATCTTAGAGGAAAAAACTTTCGGTTTTTCATCATTGGGTGATTTTTAACTGTGGGTTATGTACTTACCATGTTGAGGTAATATTGTTTTGTTCCTAGTTTGTTGAGAGTTTTTACCATAAAATGTGTTGAATTTTATCAGATGTGTGTTCTGCATTCTAAAATGATAATGTGCTTTTTCTCTTTTATTCCATTGATGTGATGTATCACATTTGTTGATCTGCATATGTTGAACTATCTTTGTATCCCAGAGATGAATCATTCTTACTTATGGTTTATGATCCAATATTGTTGGTTAATATTTTGTTGAAGATTTTTACATCTATGTTCATCCAGGATATTAGTTGATATTTTTCTTTTCTTGTGGTATCTTTGGCTTTGGTATCAGGATATTGTTGGCCTCATAAGAGGTATTTGGAAATGTTCTCTCCTCTTCCATTTTTTTTAAAGAGTTAGAAGAGTGTCATTGGTTCCTCTTTGTAGAGAGGGTTCTGATATCTGACTCAATCTCTTTACTAGTTAGAGATCTGTTCAGTTTTCTATTTCTTCATTATTTATTCTTGGTAGATTATAGTTTCTAGAAATTTATCCATTTCTTATAGGTTATCCAGTTGGTTGACATAGAATTATTCATTAGTAAGTAATAATTCATTAGCACGTAATTATTAGTTTCTTGTGATACTTTTTATTTCTGAGTCATCAGTTTTAAAATAGCTCCTTTAACTTCTGAACTTACTATTTAGAAATAGAAGGTAAAGATGTTATTGAGCCTTTATTTCATGCAATATTTATATGCAAAAATTCAGCTAATTCAGGCATTTAGTTTCACAAAGCAGATCACTATTCTAATCTCTATTTACAGTTTCTGTAAAAAGATGACATGTAATCATAAAATATGTAGTCCACCATTTTGTTTTAAAAGGTGTAATCATATAATTTGAATGACTAAGGGCATCATATATTAAAAATTATTATTTTAAATTAGTGATTTTTGAGAAGATGTTTTAGTCATAGAAATTCATTTCTTCCTTTAGCTTGAGTTACTATGGTCTATAGAAAAATAGTTGATGGGACATTTTTTTTTTTTTGGAGAGATTTTTACTGTAGTGCGCGTGCGCTCGCCAGACAGTCAGAGAGAGACATAGAGACAGAAAGCGAGAAATCACCCCCCATGGGGGATGGTCACGCCACAATCCTTTCTCCTCCATTCTCCTCTCGGGATCTTGGGCACGCACGCATACGCGCCCAGTGTGAGTTTTAAGCCACCGGGTCCGGGACACGAACCGTGGTTGACTACGTGGGAGTCCAGCGACATAGCCATTACGCTAACTGCTGGTTCCCTTGATGGGACTTTTTGATGACAAGAAGGAGGCAAAAAGGCAGCAATGGAAGTGGTTGGTGACAGTGATGGAAGCAAGGCTGGTGTAGATACTTCTTAGTAAAATGCAACTGGAGATTGAGAAGTATTTGCTCTTAAACTTCATTGTCACTTCTCTTCCCATTCTGTCAGCTACGCAGATGTCATGTTTCCAGAAAACAATAAAAAAAGATTCAGAGTGACATTTAAAGACAGTTCAGTGTTCTCCTTTCCCCTGCCTATACTTTTAAGAAGAGTCTTTAGTTTAGGATTTTCTCAATATTTAAAATTTTTCTACTAAATACAGTATTTCATGCAATCACATAACTCAATCAGGAGGAACTGTTATAAGTCACCTTGACCAACACCCTCATTCCAAAATGGAAAGAAAGCTTAAATCTACTTGGTAAGTTAGAAAAAATGTCACTTGTATTCCTTTGACTTTTCTTTCCTCCAGTAAGATTTTGCTCTATGATAAGTTAAAATTTGGGGGAGAGGAATTTAATAGAGCTGTTTCAGAGGAGTGGACACTCACCTCCTCTATGTCAACTTAGCTCACAGCAAGCCCAAGTGTGGATAGATACAGATTTGTCCACCTTTCGATGGTCTGATTGTCAAGAACTCATTTATGCAGAGCCTGCTAAAGAAGCACGAAGCTTTGGACAACGACTTTGCTGTCCATGAGACGCGAGTGCAGAACGTGTGTGCGCAAGGAGAAGACATCCTGAGTAAGGTGAATAGAGATTTCAGATACAACTTCTATTTTTGAAAAGGAACTGGCCTAAGTCAGAAATCATGACCAGTGCTAAAATCATAGATAGAATTTATAAAATCTCTTTAATACTGCATTTTGTTTTGTTATCATTGTCTTCAGCAAGTAATTTCTACTCAATGGCAGTTTTCTGGAAATTTACTCTACAGGTTTTTGTAGGAACACTTTTCCTTTTCCCTAATTCTTTGCTGATGTTCTTTCTGTCCAATGCAAAACAAGGTTTTTACAAAGCTTTTTTAACATCTGTGGTCATAGAGTATTGTAAGAATCTGAAGACATTCCATTCCTCCTTTAGAGAAAAGGACCACATTGGATCCTCTTTATAATTTGAGAATAATTCTTTTGTTTAAGTTTGTTTATAAAACCTCATTGATCTAAGTTATATGCAGACTCCTAAGCAGAGATGACTTTATGCTTTCTAGAAATTTACACCAACTATGAAGGCCGCACTTACAAAGAAAAACATGAGCAGATCTTCCCCAAAAAAGTGGAAATAACCTTCTTGGACATAGACGAATAATAAAATAATACACTAGTTCTAGAGGAGAGCAGTTGTATATTTAGAATGAGAAAATAAGAGCTTTTTAATAGTACTTTTAAAAATCACATTTTTTCCAGAAACACTCATCTGCATATTTGTTTCTCTTCTTTTCCCTTCATCTTGGTATTGTAGGAGGAAAGTCAGAATAAAGAGAAGATTTCTGCCAAGATAGAGGCTCTGAATGAAAAAACTCCTTCTCTGGCCAAGGCAATAGCTGCTTGGAAGTTGCAACTGGAAGATGATTATGCCTTTCAGCAGTTTAACTGGAAGGTTGATGTGATAGAGGCCTGGATAGGTATGATATGTCAGGGCCAGGGTCCCTTCGTTTTGAGAATCCTAGTAAATGCCATTTACGGAATCCCCGGCAGGTCACTGGGACTTCCTTAACATTGGGAAGAGAGGTACTCCCTCACTCATTCCTATCTTTTGTGGACATCATTGCACTTGTATGTGCACATACACACAGGAAGAAATATGCTGATAGGGTAACTAAGTACCATAATTTCAGAGATTACATTTCAAAGGGAATTGATTTCATGTGTGATGTACAGAACGGCAGGGCCATGACAAAACATTCCAGGGAGTAAACTCAAATGTGTGTTTCATTTATGTACAATTTATGTCTGATATACAATTTTTTTCTATGAATTCAGAAGTTCTCTTGGCCCAAGACCAGCAGTTAGTGTAATTGCTATGATTCTGAACTCCCATGTAGTCAACTGCGGTTCGAGTCCCAGACCCGGTGGCTTGAAACTCACGCCGGGCGCGTGTGTGTGCCCAAGATCTGGAGAGGAGAATGGAGGAGAAGGGATTGCGGCGTGACCATCCTCCCTGGGGGGCGATTTCTCACTTTCTGTCTCTCTGTCTCTCCCTGTCTGTCTGGCGAGCGCACACGCCCTATAGCCCCCTAGCCCCCCCAAAAAAAAGTTCTCTTGGCCTTAGTTTTGTTTCGATACATTTTATCCTGCATAAGTCCAGTAAAACAATCATGCTGTCCTCACTGCTTTTATATTCCAGCGAATCAACTACTTTGAGAGTCAGAAGGCTTTCTTCTTGTCTCTTGTAAATATTCCTGTTTTCCGTGTCAGAGCTCAGTCAAGACCAGCTATCTCTGATTACCTTTGCTTTTCAGCTGAGAAGGAAACAAGCCTGAAGAACAACGGCCATGGTGCAGACCTCACTACCTTCCTCACCCTCCAAGCAAAGCAGGTGAGAACACGCTACCGTTTGATAGATGCCAAGGGAACCCAAGACCACATCACACAGAAGCTCAGTCCTTAGGAATTATTTCATTTATAAACTTTGAGAGTTCATGGGCTGTAGCATTTGTATTATTGCTCCCTTTTCTTTCCTGATTCTGATCATTTGCTAATATTCTCTCTTATTAGCCTTGCTGTTTGGTATTCATCGTTTGGTTAGAGAACTGACTTTTAGCTTCTTTATTTTTCCTCTTCTTGCATTCGTGTGTTCCACTCCATTAATATGTTTTTATAGCTTTACCTTTTCTTTAACTTCCTTTGCAATTAGCATGCTGTTCTTCCTGTTTTCAATTTCTTGAGATGGATCATTAGGTTTTCAAATATTTAGACATTCCTCTTTTCTAATACGTTGACTTTAGGAATATAAATTTTCCTCTAAACAAAGCTTTAGTTATATCTCACAGATTTGATGTAATTTTAAAAAATTATTTAATTCTTTTGGTTATTATTATTATTATTTTTAATTTGACCAGAGAGAGAAAGCGAGAAAGCAAGCCGCCAGATCCGAGACTCAAACCATGGTTGGCCATGTGTAAATCCAGCACCTTTAACCACCACACCACCTGCCGACCCCAAATTTTATGTCATTTTCATTATAATTTGCTTAAAATGTTTCTGCCATTTCTAGTTTAGTTTCTTCTTTGACTTATTTGCTATTTGGTAGTATTTATTTAAATTTTAAACAGGTGAGAATTCTCTATTTTTTTGCATCTGTATCTACTTTAATTCTGCATTTTAAAAACATACACTGTATTATTTCAAAGCTTGATTTAAATCCAGGAAATAATCTGATTTAGTGACTATTTTATGTACATTTGAAAAAATGGCATATTTTGCAGTTTTCTTTAATTTTCAACAAGGTTTTGTTTTTTAGTCATGTTTTTTAAATACTTTACTTGAGTGTAAGTTTACTTTGAGTGTAAGTTAAAAGTTATGTCATGAAATTTTGAAATCATCTTGATGAATTCATTATTTTGGTTACAAAATGTTTCTCTTTCTCATTTCTAAAAATACTTTTTATTTAAAAATATCTTTTTTTCAGGTGTTAATGTATTAAACATGCTTTGTTTTGTTTAGTGTTAGCAGTGTATATTCCCTTTTTTCTTCCTTTTCTTACTACATTTGTGTGCCGTTATATCATACGTATGTCTTTTGTAAATATCATATAGTTGGTTATTGATTATTTATCTAATCTATAATTCTTATTGGAAAAATAAATCCATTTACCTTTGAAGTTATTAACGTAATAACTGATTTAAAGTTATAATTTGACATTCCTTCCCCTTCCCAACTCCTTACTTTTCTTCCAGGGATTGAAATGACTCAAGACAGTTCTAGTTTTTGTGAGGACTAACTTTTTTCAGTTTGCTCGTACTCTTGCAGCCTTTCAGGGGTCCCAAATAAAGTTCATTTGCTAGGGCTGCTCCTGGTTCTGGGGCCCTAGAAGTTAGCACCTTGACACTACCAAAAATTCCGTTTAGCATTTTAGATTGTTTTTCAGTTTATTTATTTCATGAGAAAGAAGCAAGCACTTTCAGCAAGATCTCAAACCATGATCGATCCTCCCTCCTGCCTTTCCTAGCCAGCCAGGGCCAGAAGTACACATGTGTACACATGTGCCTGGCATGTGTAAGTCGACCGAAAATCTGAACCCTGATCCATGTGGTTTCCAGCACTCCAGTGCTCTGTGTAATCACTGCAGCACTATGGTTTAGCGTAGCATTTGAGATTCCTCAGTAGTGTTTCTGTTGGATTCTAGGACTTCTGTCCATACTGTTTAGGAAACTAAATGCATTGAGGGAAAAAGACAACAGAATATCAAGCATATTAGTTTGCCAGAAAAGTCACAACAAATTTTTTTCTATTCAAAAATACATCCTGACTTTTCTGGCAACCCAGTATAATATTACAGTTGGCTTTTTATGTCCTTCAAGTTTTGACTGTCCAATTTCTCCAGAATTTTGTCCTATATGACATTGTCACAAGTTCTTAGCAATGCTTTCTTATCAACCTCTTACCCTACACAGCTTATACTTCAAAGATAAAAATGCAGAGAGCATTGTACCTACTCTGGTTCCCTTCACTCTGGAATTTTAGTCCTTTAGGCTATAGTTACCTAAGTTGCATTCTAATCCCTTTCAAACACCTGATTTTTGGTGCTTCTTTACAGCTGTTGAAGTTATATTAAAGGTAGAATTCATGAAGTACAAGCCACTCTATTGACGTTGGAAGCAAGACTTCCAGAATTTGTGATTTTTGATATCAACGTTTTCAAAACAAAATAACTCATTTGTATAAACAGCACCTGTTCTTTTATTCATTTTTATGTTTCCATGGCCCCAAGCAGTGCACTGCTGCTAATTAGAACACAGACTGTAGTAAGTGATATAAAAGAATTTTAAAAAGGCTATTGTTATAGGAAGTACTTAGTTTTGATTGGGAAAATTCAAAATGGTTTATCATACTCCAATAGTTTCTTAATATGAACATTATACTTGACTTAAAATCTAAGTATAGACTCTACATACACTGGAACTTAACTATAGTTTCAACCTCCAATGTTCACTCAAGTCTCTACAGAATAGTTCCTTCTTATTGGTGATTAGCCTCTTGCCTAGCCTTTATCTTATCAGTGATAAAAATCTGGTGGAACCCACATGTAAATGGCCCCTTGGAACCTGCCCTGTGTTCCTGCTCACAGCCTCTCTGTTGGTATTTCTCAGGACACTCTGGATGCCAGTCTGCAGAGTTTCCAGAAAGAGAGACTTTCTGAGATTACAGACCTGAAGGACCAGCTGGTGGCCGCTCAGCACAGCCAGACCAAAGCCATTGAGGAGCGTCACGCTGCCCTGCTGAGGCGCTGGGAAAAGTTGCTGGAAGCCTCTGCAGCTCACAGACAGCAATTGCTGGAGAAGCAGCTGCCCCTTCAGGAGGTTAAAAGAGACATATTGAAACCTCTATTATCTATATATTGTCCATAAAATTCAGAAAGAAAGACTAGAAATCCTTTCTTGATACTGTACAGAAAATTTTGTACTGAAAATAATCAGGAAGATATTTTATTGAGCAAAAAAGTGGTTCACAATTTTAAGTTTTTTAAGATTGATTAGCATTTATGTATCTGGCTTGAGATGAGAATCAGGCACATGTAGTAGAAAAGAGAGTGGAAAAGAGGGTGGAAAATGTTTGGGTAGGGCAAAACTTAAACTGCTAGGTGGTAGTCACGATCGTCCTTGTACTTCTCTCTAACCGGAAGAGAAGAAACACTAGATAAATATTCATAAAATATGTTCTCAACTTCTGTCTACTTTTTCTACATAGGTGACCTTGTATATATCACTTTATCTCTAAACCTAGATTCCCCCATTTAGGAAGAAGGGTAATTTTCACTATCCTCTCCTGTCTTCCTGTATTATTGCTATTAAAAGAAATCCTAGATCTGAAAATATAATAAAAACCACTAGATTCTATATATGAGTGGGCTTCAGAAAGTTCATGGGAGATTGAAATTGAAGTACAAGTTCATTTTGGTGAAACAAATTTTGAAATCCATGCATAACTTTTTCATAATACACACTTTCCATGAGCTTTTTGAAGACCCCTTTTCCACATAAGTAATTAAAATATTCTTTCTAACGGTGGCTGCTAAGGTATTGGATGTTGGTCATTAAAAAAAAAAAAAAAAACTAAAATGAAATTTTGATGATTAGTAAAATTACCAATAATTCCTAAACCACACAAAACATTGTACTTGGCAATAAGTAAAAGTAGGAAGTTAAGGAAATTAGGAAACAAATCTACATAAAAATAAGTCAGTCTGGACCTTTAATTTATACTCTGTTGAAAAGCATAGGATCTGCAAAAATAAATCCTAAATTAAAAACTGAACCAGCTAAACAGGCAACTTTACATGTATATATGTATTCTGAATAGGATGCTACATTCTTACTCTATTTTGCTTAATTTTCAAACTGCAAGAGGCTTTTTAATTTTATATTCTGATTATAAAATATTTGTGTAATAGTCAATCCAAAATATTATGATAATAATATGAAGTGCTTTCTAAGTTTTTATGTCCTTCCAATTTAGGGGCCACATTAATTTTCTCTCTGATGATCTATTTTAACATGTTGCTTGCTGAAATAAGTATAGAGTAAGATGTAATTGTATTATGTTGCCTCCATTTGGGCCAGTTTTCTTCTCAACAACTTTGAGGTTGAAACCTTGTTTTCATATTTGTGCTAGACAAATTTATTTGAGAGCACAATTTTAGGACTCAAATTTTGTCACCCTTCTTAAGTCTGAAACTGCTTTTGATCACCTGCTTTTCAAAACAATCCATACTATTTTTCTCATTCGGTACTATAGATAATTCAGATTTATTCATGAAATGTGGATAACTTCAGACAGAATTACAGGGATATAGAGTTTTATGCTAAGGTCATATGCTATAGGATATGAAATTAATGTCAGCTATGATTTGGAGAACTTCAGGCATGAGATGAAACTTGAACAAGGTTCAAAAGGAAGGTAGGAAAATGACTTAGTATAGTCAAAGAGATATCACCAGGGTGTGATCTGAAGAGGCTCAGAGGGGAGAAAGAAGCCCATAGAAGATAAGAGCACATTAGCCTGGTTTGTTTATTCAGTCATTTCTCTGTTCATTCATTCAACTACTTTTGCATGTTTACTATGTGCAGGGCAGAGTGAACTACTGACTTTAAAATAAGTTATATAATTAGAAACTATTCTTGCCATTCTTGAAATCTTAGAGCTGAAATAATCGAAAATATTTTTTAGAATTATTCGTTAATTTTACTCACCATCATTATTCTTCCATTTGACCAGAGAGAGAGAGAGAGAAAGAGAAAAAGACTAGGTCCCAGACTTGAATCACAGTCGGCCATGTGGGAGTCCAGTTCCTTAACCATCACATCACCTGCTGGCCCCATCTGAAATACTTTTTAGTACCCTGATGTCTTCATTTGTAAATGATGGCAGGCCTAACCAGTTTCACATAATAGGAAAACATCAAGACCAGGGTTTGTCCCTCTGTGCAACAGAAGTTTCCCATTAGTTTAAGTTGGGCCCTTTTAGAACACTGGCCCTGAAAATATTTGAACAGTCTTTATTTTAATTTCAACTCTTTTCTTCTACTGATGGGCTTTATCAGGAAAGACCAAGGTACCTTTTTTTCTCTGCAGGCCGAGGAGCTATTCATGGAATTTGCGCACAAGGCTTCAGCTTTCAACAACTGGTGTGAGAATACTGAAGAAGACCTGTCGGAGCCTGTGCACTGCGTCTCCCTGAATGAGATCCGGCAGCTGCAGAAGGACCACGAGGCTTTCCTGGCCTCTTTGACTGGGGCTCAAGCAGAATTCAACCATTTGCTGGAACTAGACCAGAAGATTAAGGCTTTAAATGTTCCCTCTAGCCCTTATACCTGGCTAACAGTGGAGGTGTTAGAAAGAATCTGGAAGCACCTAGATAGTCTCATCAAGGTAATTTGGAGCACAGCAAAGACTTCCTTTAGCCCCAGTAAGGGCAACCACTTAATTTAGTGTTCAATTTAAGGGTCTTTGGGGGAAAAAGGGAATGTTATTAGTAATTCTACTGAGACAGTATTAATAAACCAAGACTGCCTAAGACAAAAATGAGAAATACACAATAATAGGAATACCTATGCTCCAAAATTTGAATGGTTTCATGCTTCTAGGTGTTGAACAATGATTTCGAGAAGTTAACAGAAACTCCATGGGGTGGTGTTGGCAATGAGCTGACAAAAACTTATGAGATATAAATATATAGAGACAGAGTCTGTATATCACTCCCAACCAAGACATACATGCCTCCCAAAATGTCCTTTTTATGTGTTAATTTCTTTTTAAATTTTCCCTGTCTATAATGATATTTATTATTAAAACTATTAACATATTTTAAGAGTTTAATAATAATCATCTAAGATCACCATAAAATAATTTAATTATCTAAAATCACCATGTTTTTAGATGACAACCCTTATTACCATCTTTCCTTTAAATTTGCCTATATTTTTCAACTAAATTGAATTCCATTCAGAAATCAAAAAGATTGAGAAGAGGGGATATTGCCATTTTTGTATTAACTTACTTATTAATGACTTGGTCTTAGAGACTCATGCAAGAACTTAGGGGAAGTGGCATGGGCTGTTTTCACATTTTGGAGGTGAAAATAAGTGGGCTGAAAGAAGTATGAGTACATGGGCACATAGCTGTGGGAAACAGGTTAGAGTTGGGAGAAGGAAGATGTACAGGTAGGCAGTCTAATGAACTAGTTCTTCTTTGGCAAAGAAAGAAAGGACTTCTATGTGAACTTCACTGTCTGTGGTTTGGGGTTTTAGGAACGGGAGCAGGAGCTGCAAAAAGAAGAAATAAGACAGGTCAAGAACTTTGAGATGTGCCAGGAGTTTGAACAGAGTGCCAGTGCCTTCCTTCAGTGGATCCTGGAGACCAGGTGTGTGCTGTGCTGCCTCCAAGCCTATGACCCCTAAACCACACACACCATTGCTGTAGGGATGAAGTGTGTGTCTGAAGGGCAAAGCATGGATGGCTACAGTATGGGCTCTGTCCTGAAATTGTTGTAGTTTGTCTGTGTTTTAAATTTGGAATTGACTGCTTTCTGAATCAATCCTTGCTAAATCAAGAAATGGAAAATTCATCCTACTCCCCTTTTCATCCTGATCTTCTTCATACTCTCACCTTTCTTGTTGCCTGTAACTACAGTCCCAAATAATAGCAACCCGTCATATTTGCATGCCACATTACCCTCTGTAAAGTATTTCTATAGCCATTACTTCACTGTACATTCAGAACAACCTTCAGAAGTATAGGGAACAGATCTTATTACTTCTCTTTGCAAGTGTGGAAAGAAATTCAATTTAAACAATGGATTTGCCCAAGGTCATATATGTATTTATTGGTAAAATCCAAGGCATAGTCTACTGTGAACACCTAATATGAACTATAACATCACCTGCCTACTACAGCTCTAATGAGAATCAAGTGAGATATATAATAATTATATTTGCTAAATGCAAAGTGTTCTGTGTATGAAGACATTTGTCACATCTTCAGTGTGGTGCAGAAAAAGGAGCCTCTGAAGGTATAATATTAGAATAAATGTTCAAAGTTGGTAGACTATATCCCATAGGTAAGTTGGAAAAGTGGTGTTCTGAGGATTAAAGTGGTGGTTTAGACCATCCATTAAATACAGTATTCCCATGTACTCACTGACAAGGATAAATCAGACAACAACAAAAAAATCCTGTATTGGGTCTAAAATATATTTGATAGAAGGCAGAGGAACTAGGGCACTCTCTCGACCTCTGGTTTTGCTCCCTGGCAGTGTGTGCCCAGCACTGAGCATATTCTTGGACATCTGTGCTCTTTGTTTTGAGGCAAGAATTTTCATGGAAGGCTCTGAACTTCTAGTGGGAGAGGTTTTGGGAACAGTGAATGGAAAGTTCATATTTTCTGTCTACAAAGGATTTAGAATGTTTCATGAATCTAAGAAAATGAGATCATTGAAGTAATCCATGTTAACATATGATTTCCCTTTTCTCTCTTCTGATTCCTGTCCTGGACGTCCACAATCAGGGCTCATTTTCTGGATGGGTCAGTATTTTATGTTATCATGTTTGTTCTGTTATATTGTTTTGGAAGAATTAGTTAAGAGGCCTTGGTCCTGCAGCTTCTTCATCCTATTGCAATCAGATAGTGCCTAAATAGAAACATAGAGTGAGAATAAGCTCATTAAATCTGGTTCTGCTCCTACTTTCCAATGAGTGGAGTCTTGCCTACTTTGCTTAAGTGTACATCTGAAAAACCAGAACTAGGAGAGACACGTGATAGCTTTCTCCCTGGCAGAGAGGAACTAGTGCAGGCTTTCCCTTCTCATTGATCTGGCAAGATTGTTAATAGACGGGCTCAGTTGTGAACATTTGACTGTGTGAAACTTCATTTCACAGAGGTCATATAACTCAGGACAGAGTAAGAGCAGAGAGGTATAACAGAATGGAGCTGGTCGAGCTGTATGTAATAATGATTTCTGATATTATGAATAATGTTTCTCATTGGTTTCTCACTAGATCTTTGCTCAAAGAAACAGGAACTCTGGAATCCCAGTTGGAAGCAAATAAGGTAAGGAATGTTTGCTCATTAGCTGAGGATATTGTCAGAATTATAAAGAATGCAAGGAAAACCTCTTAACGTTGATCTAGGTGATTCTTTTAAGTATTATTTATAGTCGAGAAGCTAAGATGGTAGTCCCAACTCTGCCATTAGTTTTCATTCCAACCATAGGACATTGACATGGACCTCAATTTCTGTATCTATACAATGGAGTTAACAACACCTACATTATAGATTACTCTAGTGATAAAGTAAGGAGGATAATGTAAAAGCTTCTAGCCTGCAACATGGAGCACTGGCAAATTTCTGTTATTATTAAACATGTTAACATGACACAATTGAATCTAGATCATCTCTGAATAACTGAGTGAAGCAATGGGCTAGAACAATATTCCCCAACCTTGTTTTCATTGTTGCTCCCAACTCCCAGGAAAAACAGTTAATTATTTTAATTTAATTTTTCCCTAAAGAATGAAATTACATACTTAAGAGTAAGATGTCAGGAGCAGTTGAACTTTGGAGAGCCATAGCCTTATAATAGCTAATACTCCCCTTTCCACTCTCATCAGAATCAATTTATTTCATCTCTCCTTGGGTAACAATATCCCTTATTGAAAAAGCATAGGCAGAAATTTGGCATGTAATCTGCATAGGTGATGCTTGTCAAGCCAAGCTGATGAAGAAGGCCCAGGTATGAACACCCTGAGGAGCTTAAGTGAACAGGAGACTTAACCACAATCAATGGTGCAGATAAGTCACTATGCAGATCACTGGGAGCTGATGGTGTATAGATCTGGAAGTTCTACTCTTCTTTACCTGCAGTAGATAGCTGCTAATACTTGTATTTATATGTTTCAGTATACCAGAATGACAGGAGTCATCTCATCTAAACTTTCCACTATTTTATATATCCATGACAGAGGTGAAATTGTTTTCCTGAGCAGTTCACTTTTTTTTTTTTAAGAAGATAAGATCCATGAAAATAATTGAAAAGGAGCAATTAAACTCATCATCCTCTTATCTCCTCTCCCACCTAAAAGTTTGGAACTGTTGGCTTGGATGACTACTCTTTTTCTCTGTGTTTTTCTAGAGGAAGCAAAAGGAGATTCAGGCGATGAAGCGCCAGCTGACTAAGATTGAGGACCTGGGAGAACACTTGGAAGAGGCTCTGATCCTTGACATCAAGTACAGCACCATTGGACTGGCCCAGCAGTGGGACCAGCTCCACCAGCTCGGGATGCGGATGCAGCACAACCTGGAGCAACAGATCCAAGCCAAGTACAGAGGGCCCAGGGCTGGGGCAGGGAGGGGTCGAGGTGGTATTAAGCATGAGAACCCAGTAAAGTTAGAATTAAGGCACTACAAAAAAAAAAAAATACTGCTTCAGAGACAGTACACTCACCTTCTCCAGAACCAATATTCTCTCTGTTTTCTGCCCTGCCGAATGACTATTTCTCTTGACATTGGAGTCTGTCATAAAATAAGGGACAGTACCCTTATCCCCTTAATCTGCCCAGTATCAACAGGGCAGAGCAACAGCAACATCTGTATCCGATTCTCAGAATCTGTTCACCATCTTTGATCTATTTGGGAAGCATTCTCTTTTGTGAAATTCCATCTAAGATATAATGTCTAGAAGGGAAGAAGTATTTAAAATGTGACCCAATAGAACAGAACAGAAACTCATTTTTTCTAGATAAAATTATATCAAAGCATCTTTAGGTCTTAATAGTTTTGGGTTGTTTTTTTTTTTTTCTTTTTGAGAGAGATTTTTGCTATAGGCTCATGTGCTCTCACTGGAGAAACAGAGAGAGAAGAGAGATAGAAAGCAAGAAATCACACCCCAGGAGGGATAGCCATTCCACAATCCCTTCTCCTCCATTCTCCTCTCAAGATTTTTGGCATGCACACACATGTGACTGGTGTGAGTTTTAAGCCACCAGGTCCAGGATTCAAACCACAGTCAGCTACACGGGAGTCCAGTGATGTAACCGTTATACCACTTGCTGCTCCTGGGTCTTAATAGGTTTATGGCAATATTTTTATCTATTATAGATCAAGGATTGGCAAACTTTTCCTGTACAAGGCTGATAATGAATAATTTAGACTTCTCAGTCATACAGTTTCTGTTACAACTTTTCAACTCTGCTGTTGCAGGAAAAAACAGCCATAGGTAATTCCTAAGTAAATTACAATGCTAAAACTTTATTTATGGACACTGACATTTGAATTTCATTTAAATTTTCATGTTTTATGAAACATTCTTTGATTCTTTTCAATCATATAAAAATGTAAAAACCATTTGGCTCATGGAGTGTAAAAAACGAGCATGGGCAGGGTCTAACCCATGAGCCATAGTTTGTCAATCTAGTTCAGACTAAAAGACTCAGATGATATCTTGTCCTTTAAAATGCCTCTCTTTTTCATGTGGCAGAATTTTGCTATTCTTCTGTGTTTGATTTTGTAAATTAACTCTTGTTTCTCCTTCCAGAGACACCATAGGTGTGAGTGAGGAGACACTAAAGGAGTTTAGCACAACATACAAGTAAGTGTCACATCATAGTTGTCTAATTCTTTGTTTTCCAGCCCATTCAAAATGAGTCTATCAATAACCAGTATTCTGCCCCTTCTATGTGCCTTGGCAGGATCTTAAATGAATACATAGGAAGGTTAATTAGCTTTAGTAATAACTCTTAATATAATATGTGTGTGAGATTCCTAGACTTTAGAAAATACAATTCTTTTCATGCTCAATGTTTTACATCTTCTCCTTCATCCATCAGGTTAAAGAAAAACATAAAAAATAAATAAAAAACACAGAGACAAAAGACTCTACTGAGTTTTTTTTTTTTTTTTTTTTTTTTGAGAGGTTTTTGCTATAGGGCGCGTGCGCTCGCCAGACCGACAGAGAGAGACATAGAGACAGAAAGCAAGAAATCACCCCCCAGGGGGCATGGTCACACCGCAATCCTTTCTCCTCCATTATCCTCTCGGGATCTTGGGCACGCACGCACACGTGCCTGGCATGAGTTTTAAGCCACCGGGTCAGGGACGCGAACCGCGGTCGACTACGTGGGAGTCCAACAACATAGCCATTACGCTAACTGCTGGTTCCCGAGACTCTGTTGAGTTTTCAGAAAACTTTATGACATGTTAATAAAATTCCACAAGACCTGTTCCTTCTTCTTCTAATTTTGTTCTCTATTGATATGACAAAATGTTTTTTTTCTTCAGACACTTTGATGAGAATCTGACAGGGCGTTTGACTCACAAAGAGTTCCGGTCCTGCCTGAGAGGACTCAATTACTACTTGCCCATGGTGGAGGAAGATGAACCTGAGCCTAAGTTTGAGAAGTTCTTGGATGCTGTGGATCCTGGGAGGTAGGAAGAACACCAAGGATCAGACCATGGCAGAGACAAGGGCTTGATGGGGAGAAACACAGAGATTAAAATCACCTACCAAAAAGAATGAAATAAACTCATCTAAAACTAGGAAGATACACATAAGTGTAAATGAGTTGGGCCAGTCTTAGTGTCCTTTCAAGATAAATTCAAAAGTATTTATTGCTAACTCCAACTCAGGCACTACCTCTGCAATTTATCCAATTCAAGTTCTAAAGATAGGACTTGAGAAAAGAATGTTTTCATGTATGTAAGGTCTTAAAGAAACATGGATGATTCTGAGGTCAACACCTGAGAGTGGGGTTGTTGTGTGCTTGCAGGATTCTGTGACAGAGTCATAGAGGGATATGCTGGAGAATAATTCTCTCAAATGCCAAGGACCAAAATATACCAGAAGCTATTTGCAGTATCTGGGGATTGATGCTGATGAGAAATTCCAAAACTCCAAGAAGTTCAGACTTAATGACTCATGAGAAAACAGTCTAGAGCTTAGGAAATGGTGTTTATTTGGCCATAAGAGGATGAGGAGGAAGTGGTCAAAATGGAAAACAAAGCCACTAGTTTCAGAGAACTCAGCTGGAAGAAATGTTTGGACAGTCTAACTCCTCTGTCTCTGAGACACTGAGTGGGATCCATTTCTCTCACAGGAAGGGCTACATCTCACTGGAGGAGTATACTTCATTCCTGATTGACAAGGAGTCGGAGAACATCAAGTCCAGCGATGAAATAGAGAACTCTTTTCAAGCCCTGGCAGAGGGAAAGGCCTATATTACCAAAGAGGACATGAAGCAGGTCAGACTCCATTGCTTCTGCTTCTAAACTCCTGTGTTACTCTGGGTCTGGGTCATCTCAGCTCTGATTCCCAACTTTGAAACCACCCACCCACCCATTTATTTTTCTCCAACTCCTCCTGCATAAGATGCCATTTTCTTTGGTTACCACTTCATTTTGCCTAGACCCATTTCAAAACATTATAATACTTCTCTGTTGATCATCAGAATGAAGCCTGCAGCTCAGTTTCTAATGTTGTTTCTTATTCCTTATTCCTTCTATTTAATAAGTCAAATTTAGAGAAATTATACAAGAAAGAGCTGAGTTGAGAAGTTTAGTCTTGGACCAGTCAGTGGCATGGTGGTTAAGGAGGCCGAATCCCACAGGGCTGACTGTGTAGTTTGAACCCCAGACCTGGCAGCTTGAGAAACATGCTGGGCCAAAATCTCAACAAGAGGGAAAAATGGAGGAGAGTGGATTGTGATGTGACTATTCCACATCAGGGTTGCTTTCTTATTCTCTTTTTTTCTCTCTCTCTCCTCTCTCATCTTCCCCATGAGCACAGGTTCCCTCTGGCAATTAAAAAAAAAAAAAAAAAAACACCATAAAGGTTGAGCTGGTCTTATTCATGAGATATTATAAATTTATAAGAAAAGCATATGATAAGAACAAGACTTATTTTTCCCTCCAAAGGCCCTTCACCTCCAAACTTTAGGGCATATAGGAAGCCCCAAGAACCAGCTATTTTGAATCCCATAACTTTATCTTTCTATTTTTTATGCTTTTCAGGCCCTTACCCCAGAACAAGTGTCATTCTGTACCGTTCATATGCAGCAATATATGGACCCACGGGGTAAAAGCCATCCTGCCGGCTATGACTATGTTGGCTTCACCAATTCCTACTTTGGCAACTGATAAGCAACTTCTTGTGGACCACAGAAAACCTTGATGTGGTGGGAAGTTTTGAGGATGAAGGGAATAGGCAAGTGTGAGGATGAGAAATTGGCCAAGGGTATATGTGTGCATGTGTGTGTGTTATATTCATTACAGAAGATAAGTATGGGAAATATGAGCGATTAACATAGTTGAAAGAGAGGAGTCATGAACTTATTGTGTCTACAACTAGTCATTGCTAAGGGCTAAAAGGGCTTCTATTTTTATTTGTTGTGTTCTTTGTATCGATTTTTTTCCTGATTAGAGAATAAACTATTTCTTTTCATGAAAAAAGTATTTTTTTGTAATAGAACATATTTAAGTACATTGTTTCTAATCCAATTATGCTTCAGTATTTCTGAAAATTGCACTGTCATCTAAATATGGGAAGCTAAGAAAGCTGTAAAGAAGGCCTGATAGTATAGATACATAAAATACAACGTGATTTATAAACAATTTCTTCTTTGGGATTTGTTTAAATTCTTACATTTGAAATTGAAGATAAGACCAGCAGATGGTATAATGGTTACATAACTGGACTCCTATGTAATTGACCGTGGTTCAAGCACTGGATCTGGTGGCTTATAATTCATTCCAGGTGTGTGTGTGTATATGCCCAAAATCCCAGGAGGAGAATGAAGGAGAAGGGATTGTGGTATGACCATCTCCCTCCTGGGAGGTGATTTCTCACTTTTGTCTCTCTCTGATGAGTTCATGTGCTCTATAGCAAAAATATCTCTTAAAAAAAATGAAGATATTTGACATTCTTGAAAACCTCAATATTTTAAAATATGAATTCAAAGATAAAATTGGGGCAATAAATATAACACCATCTCAAACATTTACCATTATTTTGTTGTATTGCACATTCAAAATTCTCTCTCCTACTGTTTGTGAAATACACACTGAATTGTCAGCAGCTGTAGTTATTCTACCGTGCGGTAATCCTCTGTAGCTCATTTCATTTATCTGCTTGTTCTCTTGTATCTGTTAACCGAATTCTCCCTAATCTTTCTATGTCCTTTCCTTCTCAGCTTCTGGTATCAACTCTTCTACTCTCTACTTTGATTTTATCAAATCTCTTCGTTTCCACTACTGAGTGAGAAAATGCAGTGTTTGTGTTTCAGTGCCTGGCTGCTGTCACTTAAGGTGAAATCAGGTTCTGCCCACCTGTGCACTCAAACAATGGTAATTTAAGAATCAGCATGCATAATCTAGTAGAGAACTATCACCATTCAATGTATACTACTGTAACAAATAGAATTTGTATCAAATGTGTGTCTTAATCTCAGGGGGAAGTTCTTAATTAATACTCATCTTCTCTCCACCTTCTGTGTATTTACTTTCAGTTTTAATCCTGGCCTTACTCTTGCTAATTACTTTCATTCTGAATCATAGATTGAGGTCTGCCTCAGAGTCTCAGTGCTATGGCTGCATTCCTGATTTGTTTTTCATGACTCCCACTGCTTGGTTGGATCTCTCAAATACTTCCTCCTATAGTGGAATACTTCCTTTTAGTTTATACAGACCTCTCATACCAACCATCTTATTCTTGATTTCACGTTTTATGTATAATTTTGCCCATTTTGTGTATTTAACCCTCCCCATTCTCTGAGATCTAGGTCCATCTTCCTATCTTCTCCAGTCAGACACAGTGCCAGGTTACAACACTTGCCTCTCTCTGACCAGTTATATTATAAAATACAAGATGCTGAAAGCAGCATTCAGCATCTTATAGTTGAGTTCCACCAACATGAACTAGAAAGAAGGGCAGTTTAAAGTGGTACTGTTTAGAAACTCCAAATAGTAGTAGATTATTGTATTGAGGTCTTGATGTATAGCAGACTTTGTTTCAAAGACTATAATTTTCACCAAATTGCCCAATAAAATAGATACCACTTTATTTCGTTTTCCAGTTGAGAAAAAAAATGGAGGCACTTAAATGCTAAGAAATTTGACTTAGGTCTTGTAAAAAGTGGCAGGACTAGATTTGAAGCTTAGTATATCTGGTCAGCCACAATCGTGCAGTGTTAGCACAACACTCCTCAACGCTGAAACTGCATGGGAAGGTCCTAGATTTATGCCCTGAGGCCCTCATGTATGTATTAGGTACACATGTGCATGCCCTTGATCTTGAGCCTGGGGGGAGGATTGTGGCATGGACTCTGTTGGGAGTGTCTGCCTCTCTTTCTCTGTTTTTCGCTCTTCTAAAAATAAGTAAATTTACAAGAAACAAACAAACAAACAAAAAACCCTCAGAGGGACTAGTGGGTGATGAAGATGGCTGGATCCCACACGACATTGTGCAGTTCAAATACCAGACCTGGTAGCTTAAAATATATGCTAGGCATGTGTGCATGTGTGCCCCACATCCTGAGAGAAAAATGGAGCAGGGACTGTGGCATGGCCATCTCCCCTAGGGAGTTCTCTCTTATCCTCTCCAGGGAGTGCACATGCCCTATAGCAAATTTAAAGCAACAACAACAACAAGACTCAGCAAGCCTGTCTCTAGGATCTCTGGTATTAATTGGCTCTTTTAAAAGATCATGAGTTAGGCATATGGGTCATGTTTACAGCAGCGAGATCTCTTTTTTGTTTTGTATATATGTGTGTGTATGTACCTAGAAGAGTTTGCACATGGTCCATTCTTAATCAAGGGAGAACATTTGGATCACTTGGGGAAATATTGTAACCTCTTTCTGTTTTCCCACCCCAAATCAATTGTGTGAGTTTAATAGAAATATCTCCCAGGAACATCTACTTTGATGTCTCCATCCAAGGGGTTTTATACACTTTCATAATTAAGACATTTGAAAATCAGATGAACTTTTATTATTATTTGATATTCCTTACCCACAACTGATAATTGTGCATTTAGAGAATTTATATTGGGAAAAATTGATTAGATTGTGGAAATAAATTTGCTTGAAGAGACTCAGTTTGGGACAAGCAATTAGCGTAATGGCTATGTCACTGGACTCCCACATAGTCAACCGCGGTTTGTGTCCCAGACCCGGTGGCTTAAAACTCACACCGGGCACATGTGCGTGCGTGCCCAAGATCCCAAGAGGAGAATGGAGGAGAAGGGATTGAGGCGTGGCCATCCCTCTGGGGGGTGATTTCTTGCTTTCTGTCTCTCTGTCTGGTGAGCGCATGTGCCCTATAGCAAAAACCTCTCAAAAAAAAAAAAAAAAAGAAGAGACTCAGTTCAACAGGGCACTATTTCTAGCTTGTAATGGAAAAGGCTTAAAGGTGACGGCCTTTCTTCCATTTGACTAACCCACCCACCTCTCTACAAGCTGTCTTGTTCTCTGAGCGCTAGCTAGCTTCCTCCCACTAAAATTTTCTTTTCATTGACTCCTAACTGGAGGATGTATTCCTTCCCTAAAACGGTGAAAAAACATGGATTCCTATCTAAAATAATTCTCTCAATCTAAGTTCTCTCCTTGTCTCTCAAGGCATGTTCCTACTTCTATCTCATTACTAAATCATGTGGGTGCTACCTTTTCAAAATATTTTGTGTTGTAATTTCCTTCAATTTTGAAAATCACTATCCATATTTAGACCTCTTTGCATTCTGGGGGGAGTGATGGCAATACATTTCTTCCTGATTTCTTAGT